TTCTCAGTGAGCTTTTTGAAGCTCTTGTGTTTGTGTGATGATCATTCATACCTGATTGCAAATGTCTAGACTATCTCTAGGAGGATACACAGTAATCTGGCAGCCGTCATTACTTGCAGGGGGGGAGGGGGGCGGGGAGGAGGCGGGAGAATTACTTTTCACTGATAACTTTTGTACCTTTTGAATTTTATACCGTGTACATATATTACCTATTAAAAAATAAATGATTTTTAAATTTTCACTTGGTGTACTTACTTAAAAATCAGAGCCCAAACACTAAGTATTGGAAGTTTGTGGAGACCATGAAACCTTCATCCATTACTAGTGGGGATGTAAAATGGTATATGTAGTTACTGGGCAAAACGTTTTTAACAGTTAATCAAAAAGTTGAACATAAAGTTATATGACCCAGCAATCTCAGCCCTATATACATACAGACTTTAAAGAAGTGAAGGTAAAAAGAAAACCCAAAATCTGTATACCAGCAGCGTTCATCACAGCACTTTTCACCATAGCCAAAAGGGGGAAATCAATGCCCATCAACTGATGAATGGATATACAAAATGTGGTCTACCATATACAATACAATACCATGCAGCTGTAAAGACAAAAGTCCCGATACATGCCACCACATGGAAGATGCTTGAAAACATTAGGTTGGGCATGACAAATCAGTAGCAAAGGGACAAATACTGTATGGTCTCACATGGAATAACCCATATACAGAAGTTGATGATTATTAATGGTCTTCAGGGATTAAAGAAAGGAATTTTTGTTTGGGGGCATTGAGTTATGGGGTTTATGAGTTTGTGGAAACAGTGATAAAGCAATGGTACAGCATGAAAAATGTCATCAATGACATAAATGTGGGGTTATTTTGGCAGATCTTTTCGTGTGTATATTTCCACCACATTTAAAAAACAAAACAGCCAGGACAGAAAATGATTCTAGTGCAATAAAATGTTTCCTTCAGGAAGATAAAGTCTTTGAGTCATCAGTAGTTTAACTGCCCTTCTCTTGGGGCTTCAGAGAAATAGACCAGTGAGAACATCTCCTGGGGGAACATCTCTGGGGAAAGGAAGCCATGAGGGACTAGTTCTGCTCTGATGACAGCAGTGTGTAGGGTTGTAGGGAAGTGAGGTAGGGATGGGAGGAGAGGCTTTGAAATGACTACACCCTAGAAGCAGACTGCAGCGTCTGAGGACAGACATTAACGTATACTGTCATTCCCATCTTGCCTGCTGTGCTGGATTCTCTCCCAACCCCACTTTCTTTGCCAGCAGAACTCGGGTTTGTATAGCTTTGGAGTAGCAACATGTCTAGCCCCAGGAGCAGAATCTTAAAAGCTATTCTTAACCAATGATGGTAATCCCATTACTGTTTGCCAAGAATTGGTTTACAGATGGGTATTTCCCCATTCCCTAGGGCTTTTGCCTGGCCAGTAGGATGTTAGCAGATGGATTATAAGCAAAGGTTTGAAAATGTGCAGAGTATCCTGGATTACCTTGTACTTTTGCCTTGAGAGGAACATAGCTTGCTGGCCCACAGAGGATGAAAGAACACATGGAGCATACCTAGACCCACTCTGCAACTTGAAGCCAAGCCCAGATGCTCCCAGCCAAGGTAAGTGGAATCCCAGTTACTTCATAGCTACATCTGAGCAAGAAGTAAAATGTTTGCTGGCTATGTACCAACAATATTTTATGGTATTTATTGAGAATGTAACTGACTGAGGCAACCACCATATTAATTTCATAACCAATTATAGGCAGCCCCCAATTTACAATATATTCAAGTTACAGTGAACCATATAGTTAACAACTGTGCTAGTGGGGCTGCTTTGAAAGACATTGTTGTTAAGTGCCTGTCAAGTCAGTTCCGACTCACAGTGACCTTGTATAGGGTTTCTGAGGAGCAGCTGGTGGGTTTGAACTGCCGACCTTGTGGTTCACCATCCAGTGCTGATCCTACAGCACCACACCAAAGACATTTGTTGTTGTTGTTTTAGGTGCCAACGAGTTGGTACCGACCCACAGCGACCTAATGTACAGCAGAACAAAATACTACCCGATCCTGGGCTAACCTCACTACCGTTGCCACACTTGAGTCCATCGATGCTGCCACTTGGCCAATCCATCTCGTGGGGGTCTTACTCTTTTTTTCTGACCCTCCACCTTACCAAACATGATATCCTTCTTTAGCAATTGGTCCCTCCTGACAATATGTCCGAAGTTTGAGAGATGAAGTTTGGCCATCTTGGCCTCCAAGGAGCACTCTGGCTGCACTTCTTCCAAAATAGATCTGTTGGTTCTTTTGGTAGTCCATGGCACTTTCAGTATTCTCCTCCAAAACTGGTCTGACTCCAGTTTACAAGACTGCTTTGGACAAGCTCACTCTCTTGCCCTGGATCTTGCATCCGACTCATTCCATCTGACTCCAGTGTGTGGGACTTTGGCTCATCACCTGACCTGATTCACCAGTTCCCGAAGCCTCATGGATCAACAGCCTGCCGTCTGATCTGCTGTTTTGGGTTCCTCAGCTCCTGAGACTGCATGGGTGAGAAAATGCCTCTAGGCTGACCTCTGAACTACAGATTTGGGAATTGTCAATCTCCACAGTAGTGTGAGTCATTTCTTTAGACAACTGTGAGTTTTGTGAGGTGTTGTAGTGTGTTGCAGAACCCTGAGATTTGAGGGAAGGGAGGAGTGGGGACTGATATTAAGGATTATGAAGGGGTATATATATAACATGTCAGAAAAGTTGAATACTTGGGATATCTTTAACCTCTGACTCATAGGTGCAGTTTCATAAGAATTTTTTTTTGTAGCATCTTATTGGGAAGGGAACAAAACCTGAAAATGCAGATTTAAGAAGGTTGTCATGAGGAACCATGCCAAGCACCTCCCCAATGATCTAGCAACCAAGAAATGGCTGCGCCACTTTCTCTCTCAGACTTCCTTCAGAGCTCCTCCTCTCAAAGGCACGACCTCAGATGATTTGCGGTTCTAAAGGGCCACATCTCCTTATTCACAGTTGCAAAAATACAAAACTTTCTGAAAATTAAAAGATTATTTGTAGCTCATTTAATAACAAGATCTGATTTGCTTCAAATCAATTTAGTGGTCAAACTACCCTGAACTCATGGGAAGCTACTTTTAGTTCTTTTCTACAGAAACATGTGTTTGATTGTAGGGTGCTACCCTATTCCCTGGTGTGGCGCTGTGGGCGAATGCATTAGACTGCAAAGTCGTTTGAACTGCAAGGTCAGTGGTTCAAGCTCACTAGCTTCTTCTTGAAAACCCTATACAGGGTCGCTATGTGTCAGAGTTGACTCGACAGCACTTAACAACAACAACCCTATTTCTGGGACTCCTGGTGTGGCACTGTAGATCAGCACTGGACTGTGAATTACAAGGTCGGCAGTTCAAACTCACCAGCTGCTCCTGGGAAACCCTATATAGGGTTGCTATGAGTCAGAACCAACTCGAATGCGCTTAACAACAAACAACAACAATCCTTTTCCCAGCAGAGTGGGGTGTTATGTGACTCACTATGTACCATGCTGCCATTCTAAAATCTTTTTTTGTTTTTTTAATCTGAATTTACAAACCTAGCTTACCCAAATATTTTGGAAAAGATATTGTACATTCTCTGGTAGCCCCAGAATTACGGGTACTCGATAGTTTAAGCTTAAAGAATGTCCCTATACCTCAGAGCAGATGGAATAGATAATGAAAATTAAGTCACTCAACAGCTCACCTGTAGACAGTAGTGTATTAAGTCCTTGGATTCCTACATACCTGGGTCAAATTTAATGTCTTCTGGAAACCCCAAAACCACTGTGGTAGTTTTGGGGTTTTGTAATTAAGTCTCACAACAAGCATTTTGCCCCATCTCAGTATCATATACACACACATATATGCATACATGCAGTACAAAGATGACGATGAGCTGGAAATGAATGTTTCAAAAGTATCTTTATTATGCAGGTCAGTAATGATAACACAGTGGGAAAGCTTCTCACGGCTCTTCACCCTTGTGACACGGGAGCAGGGAAAAGGCCTCACCAGAGGGTCTCAGCATTGGCTGCACATTGGAGTCACCTGGGGAACTTCAAGAAACACTGCTGCCTGGGTCTCACTCTCAGAAACCCCAATTTAATTGGTCTAGAAAGCACCCTAAACTAGTAGCATCTCTCACTAATGGGAGAAAAGAGTCCTCTAGAAAACTCAAGAATATACACATTGCCAGACTTCTCCCTTGAAAGTCTGATTTAAAAAAAAAAAAAAAATTGTTTTTAAATTTCAGGTGATCCTCATTTCATAAATGTGGACTACACTGCCTTCTAGGTTAAGGAACCTTGGTAGTATAGTGTGTTATGAGTTGGGTTACTAACCACAAGGTCAGCAGTTTGAATCCATCAGCTGTTCGATGGGAGAAAGATGAGGCTTTCTGCTCCCATAATGATTTATAGCCTTGGAAACCCTGTACAGGGTCACTTTGAGTCGGAACCAACTCCACAGCACATAGCAGCAGCTGTATTCTATGCTGGGTGAAATTAGCAGTCTGGTGGGATAAAGGATGGAGCAAGGGATAAACCTCCTGGGGGGCCACAAAACTGGCCTCTAGGGCTCTCTGATGAGAGACCCTCTCTGAGGAATATGTTATTAGACAAAGGGAAAGCAGATTGGCTCAACTCTTGTGCAGACGCTAGCCAATTAGCAGTAACCATAGAGGTGTCCTGAAAAGGATTCTGAGGTGAGTTCTTGCTCTGTGGGAAGTGTGCCGTGATTGATTAGTATTTACCATGTACTTAGGAAGAGCACGTAGGTACACTCTTGAGAGCCTTTGGCACTGCTGCCCCTACCAGTCCAGGCCCAGTGCCCAGTAGTATAGATCTCAAAACGTCCTTAGTACTCAGCTGTGACGGGGAGAGGGAGGTGCCTAGATCACTGGTGTTCCAGCTCCTTCCCACACGTCCACTTATAATTTCTCCAAGTTTATCTTGGCTTGGTGAAGAGGCTCTTGAAGGCATTGTTGTAGTTCTTGTTCAAAGCTTTATAAATCAGGGGGTTGAAGAAGGAATTGGAATAGCCAAGCCACAGGAATATGCTTTTCCAGATGGGGGGCAGACTGCAGGCACAGAGAGGGCTGATGAGTTCTGCCAAGAAGAAGGGGACCCAACAACCACGAAGACACTGATCAGAATCCCCACCATCATGGCGGCCTGTTTCTCCTGCTCCCAACGGGGAATCACCACCTACTCGCAAGGTCACGGTGGCTTGGCGCCCAGCTGTGAACACCATCTCAGCTCCCTGAGGGGCCTCCTTCACCTTGGGATAAAGGAAATAAGATTAGAGGAATTCAGCATAATCCCTGTATGATTAAAGCAATATGAAGCTACTCTAGCTTGGCCCAACACCTCTACTGCCAACTTCATTCAAAACACAATTGTACCAACAGGCCTATAATTTAAACAGTAACACCAAGGAGGTATACAATCCTTAGAACAACCAACCAAATGAGATCAAAAGGGCAGCATTTGTCCAGAAATGAATCCCAGAAGGCAGGAAAGACGAACAAATGGGAGCAGTAAACACAGGAAGTGGAAAGAGTGCTCTTAACATTGCAGGGAATGCAATCTGTGTGATGAATCAAAGTACATATGAATTGTTGAATGGAAAACCAATTTGCTATGCACATTTTCACCCAAATCACATAAAAAGAAGAAGAAGCAATTCTATAATCCATCAAAAAATATTTTATATTTATAGTGATGGAAAATTTGATACTAGATAGGATTGCACAACATGACTAATTAGTGTCTCTAAATTGTACACATGGAGGAACAGCACTTTAAAACAAAAGTTCTTGACATAATTAAAACTTCTAAGGGCTAAACCAACTTTCTTCTTGCCTCAAGTAACTTCATCTTGTGCCTTATAAGACAGCATCTGTTGTGGTCAAGTGCCGTGGAGTCAGTTCCGATTCATAGCAACCCTGTACAGGATTTCCAAGGAGCAGCTGGTGGGTTCGAATCACCGACCTTGTTGTTAACAGTCCAGTGCTCACCCTGTAGCGCCACACCAGGACACCTAGTACAGTCTGGAACCGCTCTAAAAATGTCTATTGCACTTTGACCTAGAAACAAACAGCTCTACAGAAGAATGTGGGTTTGCTTACCTTGTTCACATAAGTGTTAAAACGTACAAGTTGTGGTTAACTTCAGAGAGATGTACTTACTAGTTGAAATGAACACTGTAGGATGAGCACTGGACTATGAACCAGAAGGTTTGATGGTTCAAACCCACCAGCTGTTCTTCAGAAATCCTGTACAGGGTTGTTATGTGTTGGAATCAACATTATTGTCGTTAAGAGAATAGAGATATATCTTTTCTGTATTAAAATTCTTTTCCTTTCCTGAAACATAAGAATACTTAGCATTTTCACTTGCAATCATTTTGTTCTTTTAACAAACTCTTTATTTTCATATTTTAACAGAGTCCACCAATATAATGCAAATCTAACTCTATTAAGGAGCCCTGGAGGCTCTCTGAGATAAGCTTTGGGCTGTTAACCCCAAGGTCAGCAGTTAAAAACACAGAAGATATTCCACAGTAGAAAGATGAGGCTGTCTGCCCCCATAAAGAGTTAGTCTTGGAAACCCTATTCGGGGTCACTGAGTCTGACTTGGTAAACCCGTTATTATTCCCTTGACTATTTCTCAGAAACCATTCCAGCTTTGCAAACCTCAGAAACTGAGCTATAAGTATCGAGATGATCTAATATGCCAGGAAACATGTGATTTGGGTGGTCAGCTGATTCTCAGAAAATGCCCCTCAATCCCCTTCTACAGCACCCTGTGTCTGTATTTTACAGTTGTTCCAGGAAACTTACAGACAGCCCAAATCCTGTCACTTAGAACCATCCTGACAAAAAAACGACTTCTTTAGAAGTCAACTAAGACACTAGCACCTGCAATTCCATAAATGTTCTGTAGCTAAAAATACTCCAGCTGTCCCCCTCCTGTGGTCTTGGCCTTTATTAACCTCTGTAATTCTCTAGCTCCTTGGAGGATTTTGTCTCCCTGTTTTGCAAAAATGCTCTTTCATCGTAATAAACTGTGTTGTTTTTTTTTTTTCATTTTAAACAGACATAGTTTTTTCACTACAATCTTGAATTGGCAAATGCATTATATACATTTTATAACAATAAAGGAATTTTAATAAATTAGATGAAAAAGTGAAATTGTAGGTAGCAATAAGCACTGAAAAGAGAGTGGTGGTCTGCAGAATTTTGAAATAATAGATATAAAAAGGAATGGAGACCTGTAAGAGCAGGAGTCTGGTATCAGACCCAGGCTTGAATCCACATAGCCCAGCCTTCAAGCTTGTCTGCCTTACCAAGTCACTTTGTCATCTATGAAGCTGGGTGGGGGGAGTCCCCTCTTTAGTCATAAGGCTGTCATGGTGATTAGTATTCACGGGCCCACCACAACACTTGTACATGCATTTACCCCCTCAATCCATAAGGATTGGTCATCTCAGTGCTTGTTGGCACTGGGACTACAAATAGAACAGACAGCCCTGGCCCTCACAAAATTTGTATCTAGAAAGACAGACCGTAAACATTATTGCTTCAAGAAAACTATACAGGCCAACCTTGTTTCACAGGGCTTCACTTTACTGTGCTTCACAGATAATGACTATTTTTAAAAATTGAAAGTTTGCTGCAACCCTGCATCAAGTAAGTCTATTAGCGCCATTTTCATTTTTCCAACAACACATGCCCTCACTTCATGTCTGTGTGTCACAGTTGGGTAAATTTCACAATATTTCCAACACTTCACAATGCTATTGTGCATTTAATACAAGGGGGCTTCGATAACAGAGTTTTTCCATGAACTTTTTGAAGCCATTTCGTAGACTACAGTGTAGTGTAAACATAACTTTTATGTGTATTGGGAAACCAAGAAATTCATGTGCCTCTCTTTATTGCAGTGGTCTGGACTGAGATATGCCTGTAATTGCTGGGTAAATGATCCATTTAAATTATGTGATTGTTCAATACTGCCAACTTTAGAAACAAAGCAAACATCTAAACTAATAATAATAAGCTACCATTTAGGAAGTCTCCTGGCAGGCACACTCTACACACCCTTCACTCCCATTCTTTGGTTAACTCCTATGTAGCCCTCAGGTCTCAGCTTAAAGGCCACCAACCTTCAGAGAGTGGCCCTCCCTGATTGTTTATACTAAGTCAGGTTTTCTTCTTTTATGGCTATTTCCTTGATGATGTGTGTGGTAATTTGTCTCCACCCACTAGTCCAAGCTGGACAAAACCTAGGGACAGTGTCTTCTTTGTACACCTAGCAACCTCCATATCTGGCATTAGTAGGTGTCCAAGAAATCTCTGCCAGATTGATGTTCTGTCTTTATAGCAGAAAGATCTGCATCTCTATTTCTTTTTCTCTTGAATCATGACCTCAGTCTGTACATACAGAGGCAAGAGATTCCAAGGCAAGAGCTGTGTTGGCCTTTTCCTCCAGATAACAACTGGAACCAACCATCAACTGTCACTTCATTGATGGAGCAGAAGAAAGCATAACCTCACAGACTATGGAGTGCTGTACATTTTCCACAACATACTCACTTGTGTTCTCTCATACGAAACAGGAGAGCCCAAGCGAAGAAGGTAGAGGAGTTTCCAGATGGCCTGCGTTACACTAACACAGGACTCCTCCTCACTCTTGCCATTACCTTCAGATAATCTCTTCTGCTGCCTCTCCCCATCCCAGTTCTCCCAGCTCTATTTACTTGTTCAATCAATCTGAAAACATAACATGGCAAATGGGGAGTGGCACATTGTGAGCAAAGACCCCTTTCCTTTGCCAGATCCATCCCACCACAGGCAAAGAAAGGGTGAAAAGGCAAGTGATTCCAGCAACAGGTCAAACAGCATCTCTCCTAACTCCCAAGACCTGTGATGGTAAACACACAGCTGCTGAAAAGGCAGATATGGACCACCAGCCCACAGTCCGAGCCTACAGCCAACTCCATCTGTAATAAGCCATTCATTCCAAGGGGTCACAGCCCTTTTGCCAGCAATTCACCTTTCCCTTCTGACCAATCCTACGGCAGCAGACCATCATCAAGTTAGAAAATGAAACACAGCATCCGGAAATCAGTTCATGAGTATTTAGCAGTCCCTTGTTGTGAGGGTAAAAAGGTTATAGGGGCATAAGAGGACATGGCGCACACAGTGTTTATTTAAAGCGCTTGGCTGCTAGCTAAAAGGTCCACAATTTGAATCCACTATTTACTTCACAAGAGAAAGATGTGGCAGTCTGCTTCTGTAGAGATTTACGTAATTTTTATTACAGCTTTGTAAATCTTATGGGGGGAATGCTTGTGTGGCATTCACAAGGTCAGCAGTTCAAGCCCACCAGCTGCTCCTCAGGAATCCTATGAGCTAGAGCCATCTTAAAAGCACTTCCCAACAATAAACTCTGTGGAGCCATTCTCTTCTTCTGTAGGATTGCTATGTGTTGGAATTGACTTGGCTTTGGATGACAATGGGTTTGGATTTTTTCTGATGGGAAAAATATTATCAGAGCATGAGTACACGTGGAAAGTGCTTTTTTTTTTCATTGTCCCCCCACTAAAGCTCATTAATGGGCATTTTTACAGCCATTTCTCTAAATGACCTTCCAGATCTCGAGTTCCTTCACTAGGTAATGCAAATTCCAAATGCTCATTATGTCATTAAGATAAACAAATAGGGTAAGTTCAGTTCAAAGGAATCCTGGGTTAAGAAAAACAGAAAAGGCATACCTATTGATTTACTAGATTAATTTCAAATACAAATAACCTCTACCACTTCAGCCTTGGACAGAAACTACCTTAGCTCCAAGATTCCTGTTTGCTAGAAGCCATGTTCCAGCTTTTCAACATAAGCTATGCATTATGTAGTGGCACTGGACGATGGTAAGATCTTTCCAATGAATAGCCACAAAGACAATGAGCTCACACATGATACAGGTTTTCTAGGAGACTGCTTAGTTTGACTTTTTCAGTTAAAGTGATACCAGCAGAAAACCAAAAGAAAATAAGAAGAATGTTCGTGAACCTATATGCAACAGACACTGTGATAAATGCTTGAAATTATTTTAATTCATAATCACATCAAACTTTTGAGATACGAAGATTCATATTTGATAGTTAAAAAACAAATTCCTAGTATGCCAATGGTATTTCAAATACCGGTAGTGTCACCCATGGTCTCAGTAGAGATTACAGACTAAAACAGACTAGAAGAAGCAATCGGCGTTCCA